ATATATATATATATATATATATATATATATATATATATATATATATATATATATATATGTATGTATATGTATGTATATGTATGTATGTTTGGTTCATGTGCTTGTTCATCTCCCACTATTTGGGAAAAGCCCAAAATTCCATAGTGTGGTCTAAACATTGCACTGTGTGAATTTTTTTTTTTAAGACCAAGAACTTAGGTAAAACTAATGTTCTTCTCTCCTCTTTTACTGGAATAATTTGGTTATTAAATGTACCTTGACATCTCAGAATTGTCTTGTGACTTTTTTGCGGAAGGAAAAAAATGACATATTACAGTAAACCCAGAAGTTGGAGTTATTTTAGCATTTAAAGTAAATCAACTCACTGATTGTAAAAATTAGAAATTGAAATTTCAAAATATGTGAATCAGTGTTGCCAGTGTTTTATATTTCCAATGTAAAATATTTTATTATCTTCCTCCCTAACAGGCTGGAAAGCTGAAGGATGGTGCTCGTTCTGTGACCAGAACAATTCAAAATAACTTTTTTGATAGCTCCAAGCAGGAGGCCATTGATGTTTTGTTATTGGGGAATACCCTAAATAGTGATTTAGCAGATAAAGCACGGGCTCTCTTAACCACCAGCAGTTTACGTGGTATGTGTATTTCAGGATTTTACTCTATCTGATAACTCTTGTTGCTCATAAAATTACGCAGATTCTGTTTCTAAGCATTATTTAAAAGTATAAATGTCATATAATCTGCTTATTTAAAAATATAGATTCTTATGCTTTGCTAATATTGCCAGGCTACCCTGCAGTGATGGTTTCTGTGCTATTTATGTGGTGTGGCTAGTTGTAGAGGTGGGATGGTACAAGGGATAAATATTTGTAAACTACATTTTTAGAAAATAACTAGCTTTGTCAGACAAGTACTGTACTTTTAATAGACAGCTTATAGATGTAATTATTTATCTCAAACTTTGTTTTATAGCAATTAGAAACCCAAGTCATTACATATCTAATTTGAGAAACCAAAATTCCTGGTTTAGTAAAACTTTCTACCTTATTTTTCCCAGTTGGGAGCTGGATGTCTTCATCTGACATGTCATATTCATAGTGAAGGGAATTCCCAGTATGAAAATATTTTCCCAATACATTTTGTTAAGGGTTTGGAAAAATCTCTTTACAGTCAAGTTTTATTTCAGAATACTAGTGTTTATCGCAATGTCAGTTTTCTAAGGCATTTCATTGAACAATTAAAGTAGTGCAGAGATTAGGGGAAAATTAAAGTTATAACTCTGGATGGTTTATTTACTGCTTGAAGCCCTGAAAGTCTTCACCCCTCAGCCCCCTCTTTTTTGCCCTGGTTGACACACAACAAGACTCCGTATCATTGCAATCTTCCGTGCATCTGAGGAGTGTTAGATGAGTCTCCTAGAGCAATTCAGTGTCACTCTGAAACTGACTGAATGTTGTTCTGGATTGACTCTGCTCATTTCTTCTCAATCCCGCTGCTGAATGCAAGCTGTCTGTTCAGTGCACATAGATGCTAGTAGCCCAAGGAACAAGAGAGTCCCTGTTCATCAAATGTGGATTATTTTGCATGATCATGCGGCCTATTAACAATAGGGTTACCTGGCCATCATGGAAAATCATTTTAAATTAAAGGGTTCACCAGGAATAGGAACATTAATTAATGACCATCGTAGAGCTTTTTAAACATCTAGATGTGAGTGTCAGGATTTTATAGCACACATAAAGATATGCTTGAACTGATAAAGCCAAAAAAATTGTTACAAAAGTTATATTTCAGAGCATAGTCTCATAGCACTACAGTTTTTAAAGCATAATTGTTTACTAATTTCTTCTTGTTTTCTTCTTGCTGCATCCATAGTTTCAGAGCAGTCATTGCAATCAGGTATAGTATAGTAAATTAAGCCAGAAACATCTGAGTAATTATTGTTCTTCCCTAGCTTTCTCTTGGGTTCCTGCTTAAGAATTCACTCATTCTCTGTTTGTGTAATTTAAGCAAGAGACCAAATCTGCTTTGCCTTCAGATATTTTGGACTCTGCACTTATGTACCTACCACAAAGTTGGGGATGGTTGTGTAATAGGAGGAAAGCTGATGGGGAAAGGAGAAATAAAACATATTTAATTTGTTTGGGAGTGTGATGACAAATTTAATGGATATCTTTCAGAGACTGTTTCTTTCAAGTCGCAAAGGAATTTTTTTGGTTTTAGTCAAAACCAATATTTCAGCTAGGATAAGGAGTAATATACAATAGCAATATCTTTAGAACAGTCACAGTTTTAAGTACGGTAACTTAGGCTAACTTGCTTTTAGAGAATATCTCTTCTTACTGGTTTTGTGTTCTTGCACACAATTAACGAAGTTCAGAATGTGTAATAGGTAAAGATCTAATTGGTTACCCAGTCTCTCCACTATGTCAGGCACAACTTTGTTCTACATTACACTAAAGCATAGAACCCTACTGTTTAACAATAATATATTGTACTTAAATATATGATGTCTTTTATCTGAAGGATAAAACACAAAACATTTTACAAACATTAATTAACGTTTTACAAACATTAAGCCTCACAACTCCCTTCAGTATTATTCTTGTTTTACTGATGGGAAATCTGAGGCACAAGAGACATTCAGCACGTCCATACAGACACTTAGCGTACAGCAAGCTGGGAGGTAAACGTAGAGCGCACTAGCCTGCTGTGGATCCTGTTGCCATGTGGACCTCGCTACCATGCACTAAAAGTTTCCTAGTGGAATTTGACTTATTGATGAAGCAACTATAAGTCAAAGCACCCTATGGAACTTTTAGTGTATAGTATTCGGGTTCACATGGCCAGTAATGCGCAGCAGGCTAGTACGATGTAACTTCATACCCTAGCTGGCTCCACACTGAGTCTTTGTGTGGACGAGCCCTAAGTGACTTGCATAGTTTTACACAGTGAATCATTTGCAGAATATAAGAGAGAGGCAGAAAATATATTTATGGGACCTGAAGGTTCCAATGGGTCTTGTAACTCTGCCCAGCCTCAAGAACCTGACCCTGGAGGTGGAAGTGTACGTACAGTCATCTTGTTCATTAACTACCTAAATGCAGTCGTCATGTTAGTATGTTGTACAAGACATGTTGTTGACTGGTACGATTATCATATAAAGTGCTTACTTATTTCTACCACAGTACTGTTTCTGCATGGAAGAAATATTGTGAATTAACTTGGGTATGCTACTCCTGAATATATAAACAGGTGATGTCTGTACTTCGGTAAAACACCCATGGCTGGCCCATGTCAGCTGACTCTGGCTTATGAGGCTTGGGCTATAAAATTGTAGTGTAAACATTCAGGCTTGGGCTGGAGCCTGGGCTCTGGGACACTATAAGGTGAATCATAGAATTGGAAGGGACCTCAGGAGGTCATCTAGTCCAACCCCCTGCTCAAAGCAGGACCAATTCCAAACTAAATCATCCCAGCCGGGTGGTAGGGTTCCAGACCCTGGGCTCCAGCCCAAGCCCAATTGTCCACTCTGCAATTTTATAGCCCTGCAGCCCAAACCCCGTAAGCCCAAGTCACCTGACACTGGCCAGCTATGGGTATTTTATTGCAGTGTAGACATACCCTTAATGTTTAGTAGCAGTCAGTATTCTCCAGTGCTTGATACACAGACAACGGCCTACTACTGTTCCAAAGCTAATCCAGGTGCTCCTAATATATGGAGATATACCTATCTCATAGAACTGGAAGGGACCCCGAAAGGTCATCGAGTCCAGCCCCCTGCCTTCACTAGCAGGACCAAGTCCTGATTTTGCCCCTGATCCCTAAGTGGCCCCTCATGGATTGAACTCACAACCCTGGGTTTAGCAGCCAACGCTCAAACCACTGAGCTACCCCTCCCCCGCTCCTGTAGCTCATTTGCACGGATATGCATGGTAGGGGTCACTACAGTTGCACATGACTTTTCTCCCCTCTTTTTAAGAACTCAAATAAAATTTTAAAAAATCCACATTAAAAGAATTGTTAAGGTTGCAAAATCAAGAACTCAACATTTAGGAAATGCAAGAATTAATGGATAGTAATGCAAAATGCTACTATATGTAAAGTACGGAATAAAGACCTGGTGCTGCAGCCGTTATATTGTCAAAACTCCCACTGACTTGGCCTGAGAGAGAACTACATAATCAAGCCCATGTCTTATCATTTAAATCACCAAAATACCTTGATTCATGGTTGTGGTGGTTTGCCCGTAAATTAACAGATCAGAATTTTTTAAAAATGTCCTTGTGGATTATGAAAGTAAGACTCTTTTGCAACATTCTGAGGAGAAGGAAGAGGGAACGCACAATAGTATATTTGATTGGGTAGGTGCAGGGAATGAAAAGGTTGGACTCTTTTTTTAATTTTTTTAAATCCTTAGATTGTAGTTGTTTTGAATGATTTGCTAGTACACTTCTACCCTGATATAACGTGACCCGATATAACATGAATTCAGATATAACGCGGGAAAGCAGCGCTCCAGGGGGACGGGGCTGCACACTCCGGCGGATCAAACCAAGTTCGATATAACGTGGTTTCACCTATAACACAGTAAGATTTTTTTGGCTCCCGAGGACAGCGTTCTTTCGAGGTAGAGGTGTATACTCATTTTTATCTGAAAGCCACTTTCTACTGTTGTGCAAGCAATATAAATATAATAAAGTTGTGCCATTCTTAATCTGTTCTATATATTATGAGACAATTTAGACCACTTCTTTAAAACAAATTACTCACCCGCAGAGATGTCAAACTTTTGTTGGACATTTATTTTGTACAACAATTTCTGGGCCTTAATCTTACAGGGCTTGATCCAACACCAGTTGAAGTCAGTGGCTTCAGTGGAGTATCCAGCTCCACATGCCCTTAGTCCCTTGGTGAGGAGAGATTGTAGACATAACCAGTGGAAGAGTCCATAGTATTGTTCAGCAGTGACCCTTTGGCCGCCTGGGGGGCATTGATAGGTAGAGCTGGGCAAATTTTTTTTTTATCAAACTCGTAAAAAATGTAGATTGGGTGATACCAAAACATTTTGAAGGCTCAAGTTGGTTTTGTCAAATTGTTTTGGTTGGGGGGTGAGGGGATTTCAAAAAAATCCTTTAATTTTATTTTAATTAATTTAAAAAGTCAATTTGAACCAGAAAACTGAAACATTTTATTTACAAAAAGTAAACACAAAACGTTTTTACTTTGGGTACTTTTTTAAAGTCAGTTTTAAAATGGTTTTTCAATTTTGTCCAAGTGAAAGTTTAGTTTGACCCAAAATTATTTTTTTATTTTTCGTAATTGCCAGCAAACCAAAAACATTTGTTGTTCACAGACCTCTTGACAGATTCTGCAAGGCATCCTATTGAACTATGCCTAGAGGATGGTGGCTGTTTCCTGAGGCTTTAAAATAATGAGGATTACAGGGATAGGATTTTTGGAAAGAACCCAGGATAACCCTAAAGAGAACTTAATCAAGAATTTATTGCTCTGTAGATTAAATTATTTAAACAGTACTTAAATATTAAAAGCTTTTTCCTGGTAACTTATAGTTAAGCATGTAAACAGAGTACAATTGGAGCTCTAAACATGTAGGTTCCTTGCCTCCCCCTCCCCCCCCCCCCCGACTTCCTATTAGCTTTGTGAGGTTTTTTATTAGTGCTTATTGCAGCCACTTAACTTTTTATTTAGTATGTCTAAATGAGACCACTAAAACTCTCTTATTCCCCTTTTAAAATACCAAGTATATCTTAAATATTTTTAAAAAATAAATAAGTAAAAAAAAAAAACCTCTAAAATGTCTCCAGAACATACACTGCAGCTAAATTACTTTTTCTTTTCTGAGATATAATTTGAAAGGTAGCTACTGGGTTTGTGGAGTGATGGAATAAAAGACATTTTTATTGAATGGAGAAAAAAATGGAAGGAGATAATGTTGATAGGGAGCTATGAAAGATAATGGGTTCATTACATTTTTTGGGAATGAGAGGCACAATCTCACATTTTTTATTTGTTTTTCTTTTCATATATTTCAATTTAGGACAACAGTCATGTGGTTTAGAAATCTTTCTGGTTTAAAACATTGTTGATTTTATGCCTGTATTGAGCATGCTGCTAGCAATCTCCTGAAAAATTAAACCCCAGTCCTGTAAGAAGATATGCCAAAAGGGGCTCCTTGAAAAATCAAGGGCTAAGTGATCAAATATTTAATTTTGTGACACTTTTAAAAAGCTATGTGGTATCAGAGCACTGCTTTTTTTAAAATCTAAAATAGCCACTGTAAATAAGGATGCAAATTTGAGTTGAATAGATGAGAGAGAATTGTGGTACTTTTCCAAAATATGGCCACTTGTTACCACTTGCAGTAGGTTGTGCAGATGTTCAGAATATGACCGTGCATACATTGATGGGTTCCTTTGGTTGGTCTCATCCTCTTTGGGGTTTGGATACTCTCATTGGCTCTGCTAAGCTTCTTGGGCCTGATTTTCCTTCAGAGAGTCTCAGATGTTTTGCTTGGCTTCCCTTCAGTGGGATTTGGATACTTCTCTGGCATCTGTTGGGCTCCTTAACTTGGCTTTCCCTTGATGGGGTATGGATGTTCCACTAGTCTCTGTTTGGCTCCCCCTAGGTGAGCTCAAATACCTAAGGCTCCATTCCTCCCTCTGGTTTGTTGGCCCCCACAGTCCAGGTTGGGGAAGGAAATCTGTGGTATTCTCCCAAGTACCACCCGTCTGTGGTACCCAGAGGAGATGTCAGTTAAGTACATTGGGCACATCTTGCATAATGGTGATCATCCCTCTCCTTTCTTAATGTTTTAATCAGCAGTGAAATAGTTAAACTCTATAAACTATATTGGTTTACACTCCGTTGACATTTTGAAGATTTTCTTCCAAACTATAAGGGCTAGACATTTACTGAGGGTTTTTTTTTCTCTCCCAATTTGAAAGCTGAGATTCTGGAACAAAGATGGTAGCTTAAAAAGTAAACAAGTACTAGCTCGCCAAACTGCCATGAGCTGACCTAGTCCGATCTCTGAATAAATATATTGTGATCAGTTGCCCACTGTTTCTCAATGGAGTACAAGGCTAAGGAAAAAATACAATCAGGCTGTTTGCTTTTTGTAATTTTGATAGCACACATGCACCAGGATGATGGTGTTACAAATATGTAAAATAACTATTAGTTGGTAAAGCATAATGCACATAAGACTTGCTGTTAATCTACTGCATTTTTTTCTCACTGTGGTTAAAGGAAAACTGCAATGTTAATATAAAAGTATTTGGATCTTTAATCTAATTAGGGAGAGGTATTGTTCACTCTAAAAGTGTATCTTCATATATAATTAATCTACCAGGAAGCTGTCACATTACTGATATATGTAAGAAACTTAGTCCCCCAATACCGTGGTATCAGAGCATCTCACTGTCATGCTGTCAGGAGTGGCTCACGACGATAAGTGCCAACTTCAGGGAGACTGTCAAAAAATAGAGCAGACACCCCAAACTGGCTCTTCTGTTCTATAATTAGATTTCCCCCAATCCAGTAAGAAGTGTAAACTCCTAAACAGTCTTACCAAGGAGTCACAGACAGTCCCCATGGGCATTCGAGTATATCTTGCAACCCAGGACTATGTTATAGATTGTCACTTTACACCAAAAATCACGGTAGTGTTATAGTTACTCCCAGTCCCAAAGGACCGGTCACTTACCCCAGGTTGTTTGTTCTCCGATCTCTTCCCAAAGACAATGTCTATAGCCAGTCCTGTTATAAATTAAGGTTTATTAACTAGGAAAATAAATAAGTTATTTACAAGGTTAAAACAGGAAACATACACACAAATAAGTTAGTCTTAGATTTTAAAAGATAATATGAGCTGCTGTAGTAATCAGCTCCATATGTCCTTTACGGCTGACCCATGCCAAGCACTATGGGGGTCTCTTGATTATGTTTAGGAATCTTTGCCCCTCAGAGTCCAGACAGCGTGAAGATCCCAGTTTCTCCAAGTCCTAGACTAGTGCCCTTACCCATTGGTGAAACTTTCCTCGTCTGATACAGAGTTGGAATTTGGGAATTCATCTCCCATTGTTTACACACACACACACACACACACACACACAATCAGATTTGTAAATTTCTATTACTGTGTATGATTAATTTATAAGTGTCTAACCAAAATAAACAATTCTATTAAAATGATAGGTAAGATAAACTATTTGTATAGATTTATTTATTTAAACTCTCCACATTTAATCAGTGATACAAATTAAGTGATACAAATTAACAAACCTGAATGTCGTCTTTTGTGAGCATTTAAACAGGAACTGAATTTCATTTATTAATCAACATAATCAGAGGACTTCATGTTGGGATGAATCATTAAAAATGTTGATTTCCACTGAGACAAATCATTCAGATTAGAGACAGTGCAACAGTGATAATTTTCTAAACAGTTTTAGAAATATCTATCTTTATGTATTTTCTTTCTTAGAAAAGTTAAGAATTTAACTCTAAAACATTATAAATTACTCCAGTTTTGCTTTGTCGGCATCCTGCCCAGACAAGTAACATTCTTATTTTCCATTGTGAAGTACATCACTTTTTCAATACACTGCAGTTTGCTTTCAAAGCTGATAATTTTCTGCATGCATGTGCATGGATTAGTTGCATTTTGTTTTAAGAAGAGAAATGTGTCTTCTAGGATCTTGTTCTGTTGAATTTTGTGAAAGTCTTCTTATGCTGGTTAATGCATTTTTTTAAACCTTTTTTATAGCATCTGTAAAAACGCTAAAGGGTATGTGTGAAAATTTTTATAAGTATTCAAAGCCCAAAAAAATTCGAGTATGTGTTGGAACATGGAATGTCAATGGTGGGAAGCAATTTCGAAGCATTGCATTTAAAAATCAAACACTCACTGACTGGCTTCTAGATGCACCAAAGTTAGCTGGTATCCATGAATTCCAAGGTAGGATATATATTCTCTTGATTTGCTTGAAACCTTTTGATTATTAGAAATAAAAATTGGGATACAAGGTCTTGATTATAAAGATAATTGTGAAGAACAAATAGCATTTTTTTAATACTTAAATGCAGATCGAAGAAGCAAACCTATTGACATATTTGCCATTGGATTTGAAGAAATGGTTGAGTTAAATGCAGGAAACATTGTGAATGCAAGGTAAGTGGTATCATTATATACAAATATTGTTCATCTGGTACAAGTATAAAGTTACAAGTTTTAGTAAATATTACATTACATCTTAGGAAAATTATAGCATTTTATAACACCTGTGATTAATTTAAATAACTTTGGTAGAGGCAACTGGTACAGTGACAATCTTCCAAAAGTCGTGTACTTTTTCCCCCCCCCAAAAATGGAAAGCAGTGACCACTAGGCCAAATCCAATATGCTCTCACAGATCCAAATAGTCAATACAAGTACATATCTAGAATTGTACCCTCACCAGCCCTAAGTTTTTGTTTCTTCCTATAGTGCTGTTGAGGCAGTTTTATCCCAGAAAAATTATTCTTCTTTCAGAGTTTTTGTACATTTCCACTTCTGGGACAGCAGCTCCTAATGTGAGCATGTGGAACCCTCTTTCGAAGGACGGTCAGAGGGGGTGCGAGGACACTAGGCAGGACGTATGTCAGATGCTCTATTTTATACAAGAAAGCACGTTCCTTCAGCCTGGCTGTTTCTTCACCACGGCAGAGAGCAGAAGGGTTCTCTTGGTCATGTCCTGGGCTATTCCTAGTTTGCATTTAGCTATTTTATTTCTTGTATATAGTTTTCCTAGTGTAGGTTAGTAGGGAATTATATTTTTCCAAGTTCTTTGAGTTCTCCCCAGCACTGGGACTATGGTCGTCCGCATGGACGCTAAAAAGAGTTTTAAGAAGTGCACGTTATGCCCACCTTCAATCCCAGAATCAGCTGCACATGTTCACTGCCTTGGATAGTCACACTCTATTGCATGATAGGTTGATGAGTAAAGTCAGAACTGGGATTGATAGCAGCCATCACCACCCTTGACAACAGCCTGTTCTCTTATAGAATCATAGAATATCAGGGTTAGAAGGGACCTCAAGAGGTCCTCTACCCCAACCCCCTGCTCAAAGTACGACCAATCCCCAGATGGATTTTTGCCCCAAATCCCTAAATGGCCCCCTCAAGGATTGAACTCACAGCCCTGGGTTTAGCAGCCAATGTTCAAACCACTGAGCTATCCCTCCCTCTAGGTCTTCCAATGAACTGGAAGAAATTCCTCTTTGACTCACTCTGAGGATAATGTTTCTTGGTGTAATGCTGGCCTTATCACAAGCCAAAGCATTCCTTCTGGAAACTGATTCCTCTGCATCCAGCAGGCCCGTGTCATTCTGAAAAGGTTTCCAAAGCAGACCATTTGCTTCTTTCGAAGCCTCCTGGAGCTAGTGGCATTGACACATGTCATTTCTATCACCGGCTGCATGTGAGACTTCTGCAGCATTGGGTAACTCAACTCCATGCCCCAAATAGAGACAGGCTGGAAAGGAGGCTCACTGTCTTGATGCAAGTGCTGTTGCGGTTGAACTGGTGGGAGTTCAGGGACGGTGTTCTCTGAGGATTGTCTTCCTTTTTCCACCTGTGATTCTAGATTAGGTGAAGCAGATAAAGTTTGAAGGACCCTCTGCCTGTTCCTTGAAATCCATCAAACAACTATATCTGCATGTCACCAGCATGTTAAAAGGAACATTGAGTTTCTCACCTTACAGCTGTCAGATTCTTAAGGGAACTTGTTAGTTGCCTTTCCTCCTACAAAGGAATCTTCCACTTCTTGGGACTAGAATCTACTTCTAACGAGGCGATGGAGCCTCCCAAGAACAACTTTCCTTAAAGACAGCTTTCATTTGTTGCCATTACCTCAGCAAGGAGAGTTAGTGAGCTAAGAGCTCTAATGGCCAGTCTACTGTATGTAGTAGTCTACAAAGATGAAGTGGTATCTTCCCTTCACTTTTTCAAAGTCCTTCCCATCCTGTGTTCTTCCTTAGACTCCATTCACAGCTTTTACCCTGAGAACACAAAATCCTTTGGAAAGTCAAACAGGTTACTTTCAGCAGATGAGGAAAGATGCGACGGAGAATTTACCTCAATCCAGAAACTGTTCTAGTGAATTAGGAAGCACATAAGCTCTTTTACAATATAACTAGAGTGCTAGTGCCTGCAGGATTAAGGGTCCACTGCATATGGCAACTGCTGCCTCCAGGGCTTTTTTAGGCATCTTCCAACATTGGAGGTTGGTAGGGCAGCAACTTGGAATTTAGTATATACCTTCAACATGTATTATTCCACAGACTTGACATCATGCTCCAGTGCCCATTTTGGGATAGTGGTGCTACAGTCCATATTTCACTAAGAACTCCTTGCCCACTGTTCATCAGAGAGTGCACAGCCTAGAAGTTTAAAAAAAAAAGTTATTTACCAGTTACCAGTAACTGCTGCTCTTTGAGAGCTGCCTCTGTGCATTCGCATTTCCTGCCCATCTTCATCTCTAGCTTGGAGTTCTACAAGTCATCACTACTTGTGGTTCAGGAGAAGGAACTAAGGCAGTTTAGGGGTGGGATGTGAGTGACTAGGGTATCTGATGTAAGATGTCATGCAAGAGTGATTGTGCCCTCCTCAATGGACATGGCTTTAAAAGAGGGTTCCGTATGATCTTTTCTAGAAGCATTATAATCTCTATTTCTGTTCAGTTGGCTACTACAGCATTGGGTTTGTGTTGCATCTGGAATGAGAGCCAAGGTTTTTGGTTGCATAAAGAAAACGCTTTCCAGTCATTGCCTCGAGGGGGAAAGCAGTTAAACTGAAGTAAATGGAGTAACCGCACATTTACAGTAGTGTAGCTGAGTTCAGAATCGGACATGGTGCTCTGTACTCACTGTTGCAAATTGTTAGGCAGTGATTACCCAGTACAATTTCTGTGTCTGGGATTTGTTTGATCCTTTCTTGGACCATTTGGTTGCTGACAAATAAAAAGAGAGCGACATCATTATGCAGGTCCAGAATGTGCCTTATCATTATTTTTAGGCAATGTGAGATGTATTTGATACAGTAACTCCTCACTTAAAGTCGTCCTGGTTAACGTTGTTTTGTTACGTTGTTGATCAATTAAAGAACATGCTCATTTAAAGTTGTGCAATGCTCCCTTATAATGTTGTTTGGCAATTGCCTGCTTTGTCCACTGCTTGCAGAAAGAGTAGCCCATTGGAGCTAGCTGGTGGGGGGCTTGGAACCAGGGTGGCCTACTGGACTTGCACTTTGCCTCCCCCTCATTCTGTACAAAATGTAGCTGCAAATGTCATCCACTTTGTTCACCGCTGTAACCATGTCTAATCAGTATTCAAATCCCTTCATTATTTCCCACATCAAGTTACATTTCTTGTCCTGCCCTTCAAGACCATTGACAATCTCTCTTTTGCCTACTTCATTGTTTTATACAATATCCTTTAAATGCAACACACTGTAGATATGTAGGTGTCTTTTTTTTTTTTAACTGCTTTTTTATCACACTGGTAGCACAACCAATCAGAAGCTGTGGGCTGCTGAACTGCAGAAGACCATCTCAAGAGATAACAAATATGTGCTGCTGGCTTCTGAGCAATTGGTGGGCGTCTGTCTCTTTGTATTCATCAGACCCCAGCATGCTCCTTTTATCAGGTCAGTGAGCAGACAACTATACTAAAATTGGTATGCTTGCCAGACTGCTTTATGCTGCAAAATAAAACCCAACACAAGTGGTTTGAAAAGTGTGTGTATGGCTTGACACCAGCACTTAAGAAAAGCTGTTGCATTTCCTGTTAAAAGTAGTTGCTTAAATGCTGTAATCTTAAATTTGGAAATCTTGTACCTTGCCTGTAAGACTTGGAAAGCATCCATATATCCATGCCTTATCTGCTCAAAAACAGTTGATGTCTTTAAAACACTGTATTGCAATGCGATGATCATATTACTGATGATGAAATGATGTAAACATCCAACACCCTGTCATTATTTTGTACTTCTCCAGTTTCATTCAGTGACCGTTAGAGCCCTTTTTGAATGTCACTAATGGCTGCTAAATTTTGTCATTGATTTAAGGTTTAATAGTAAACATTTACATTATTTTTTAGGGATGTTGCTGTTGATACTGTAAAGACTGGTATGGGAGGAGCTACTGGCAATAAAGGTGCAGTAGCAATTCGAATGTTGTTTCATACGTCCAGTCTTTGCTTTGTCTGTAGTCACTTTGCTGCAGGGCAATCACAAGTCAAAGAGAGAAACGAAGACTACATAGAAATAGCCCGAAAACTCAGTTTCCCAATGGTAAGCAACAATGCTGTTCAGATTCCATAATAAAAGAAAAATCCTTAAGGCCATTAGGGCAGCTGCTGAGAGTGTGTGATACTTTAATTTTTAAAATGAGTCTAACAAAGATAATCTGCTAACAATCCAAGAGCATTACTCCTAAAACTTTAGCATGGTGTACTCTGCCTTACATCCTACAGAAATTTTAAACATAAAGTAAATAGTTGGAAATTTGAACAAATTGAAAAATGTTTTGTTGAATTCTAAGCTGTAAAAAAAAAAAAAATACCAAGCTGTGAAAAATCCAAGCTGTGATCACTAATTATAGTTTAGATTTATAACTGTGCCTACTACTTAGTATCATGCCCAAATTAGCCTTCGCTAGTTTTCTGTGGCATTGTTTGAAGAGAGGGTTCCTTCCCCTTCAGCTTTCTCCTATTTCAGCCATATGAGATGGTCATGTTTCATTTTCTCTACAAGATGCTCAAACATGTATTGTCTCCACTGACAATTTCCAAGACCTGAATCAGGTTGTCTTAAATTGAAAGCAGACTAGATTGGCAAATTATATAAAGAGAGTGGGGAAAAATCAAACTCCAAAAAGAGAGGTACAAAAGAGACTCACCTAGTTAATTATTTGCTAGATTGGCCCCTGGCTTTGTTACAAAATATTGTTTGACACCTAACGATCTTTCATTGCTGAAAAGTCTACAATCTACCCTGAACAGCAAAGCTGCCTTTCTCTCAGCATATCATCTTAGTATGCCAAATGATCCCAGAGAAGTGGCTCTTTGTTCTTCTTAAAAACCCTTTTGTGAGGCAGAGTTCAGGTTTCTCATTATAGCACCTTTTGAAACCAGAGCAGAATGAGCAAATCTGTTAAAATCCGGTTCAGATAACTCTTGCATAAATATGACTGTCATCTCATGAAATATTTTTTTCTTTCATTCATGTTCTGCACATGAGACTGTGTGTCTGGTTATCATATGGCTCCATCCAGATGATTAGTCTCCACAAATGTGTATTTCACCCACCCCACCAGAAAACACATATGCAGCTAGAAATTACATTGATTTTTAAGATTGAAAAGGCTCATAAAGTATTACTCACGCATCTAGATGTAGATTTCTGTCACATGGTTGTTTTTAATTTCAATGTGTATTTATTTTTCAGGGAAGGCTCCTCTTTTCCCATGACTATATATTTTGGTGTGGCGATTTTAATTATCGTATAGATCTTCCTAATGAAGAAGTGAAGGAGTTAATTCGCCAGCAGAATTGGGATTCCCTTATTACAGGAGATCAACTTGTCAACCAGAAAAATGCTGGACAGGTAACTCTTTAGAAAATGTTGCATTTAAGAGACCTTTATTTTTCATACTGTAACTCTTATTAAAGCCACTTCATGGTGGGGTACTTGTGCAAGATTGTTTCTGCATTGCATTGTTAACTTGTCACTTTTGTCCAGTCACCAGTCTGGAATAGGGTGGAGTGGAAAAACAATCAGTAGGATGTTTGTATCAGTTGCTCTGAAAAAATAGTTAGTAGTGCAACTACAATGACTAGCTATGAGAATGAGATTTTTGATGTCCCTTATAAAAGAGAAACTTCATTGTCATCCAGTGAATAGTGTTTGGAGCATATTAAAGAGAAAACAGTAAAGGTTATCAAATGCAGTTGTCACAGCACTGGATTTTTAAAAGAGAGCATAGTAAAGACTTTTTTTTGGTAACACCACTTGTCACATTCAATTTATGTTAATAGAATGAAAATATTTGCTATCACCCACTTAGTAACAAGCAAATAGACACTGATAGCAGCTTCAAATCAAAGCATGTCTTTATTTAGGAACAAAAAGATTTTAGGGGGTTTATTGTAGCAAGGCTTCTGACATCAACTTTTTTTAGCATGTCATAGTTAAATGGACACTGGCAATGTAAAAATCATACTCCTGTGTGAAAGTGTTTTATCCCAATTGTTAAAGTATCAATGCATACTATAGTTGAAACGTTAGAGACAAATATTTTTTCTATTTTTTTAGTTTATTTTGTGTGCTTGGCAACACTGTATTTATAAGTAGTTTCTCCTTTACCGGAGTTAGCTTTCCCTTATTTGTATAGGTCTTTCACACAGCAACAGTGGAGAGAGAAACATTTTATAAAGGAATATTATAAAAACAAAAATCCTCAGGGAAATTTAAAGGTGTGCAAAGTAGCAGAAACTATTTAAATTAGGCTTTGTTTTGTTTTTTTAAATTAACTAGATTTCAAGTTGATTGTGTCCCTTCAAAACCAGAAAAGCAGGCAAATGCTGTATTTATGAGGTCAGCCTTTGGCTAGGGGATCAAAGTTAGATACATATCTCAGGGTTCCTTTAATTTTATTGAGATTGCCAAACGCAAAACCAAGTTCAAAGTAGCAGTTGACGCAGAGTTCTTGCTTATGTAGCATACATTTCACCAGTGAGAAAGCTTCTCTGCCTTTTAGGGAAGCAGACTAATTGGTCTTACTTGTTATTGGGGAGAATTTCAAAAGTGCCTAAGAGATTTAGTGATGTTTAATAGGACCTATGCTCCTAAATTCTATAGGCACTCTTGACAGATTTCGCAGAATTCTCAGAATTTCTCAGATTTTTGTGCTTTGTTCAATAATACAACAGCATTATCTTCTTTTGCACTTACTGTACTTCTGCTCTTCCATGTCTCTTCCCTTTAGACATTTTTAAGACATTTTTGTTTTTAGTAACTTGTTGGGAGACATTGATGGGATGCATCTTCTGTCCAGGCAAGCACCTCTGATCTAAACATTTCTGCTTAGAAATATAGATGTTGCTATAGTGGAATAGACCAATCTATGTAGATCAGTGTCTAGTCCTAGTATTTGTTCATACAGCGCCGGCAAAGTGCAACACAAGGATGTGATTTGTAGAATGCGCTAGCATGTTGTGTTCTAATTGTCCCATATAGACCCTGCTGGCACACTCTCTAAAACAGGGGTCTCAAACTCAAATGACCATGAGGGCCGCATGAGGACTAGTGCATTGGCCTGAGGGCCGCATCACTGACACCCACCCCTTGCTGCCCCTGCCCCTGCCCCCACTTCACCCCTTCCATGAGGCCCCTTCCCTGCCCTGACCCTTTCCTGCCCCCAGGGGGTACTGGAGGGTGCGGGGTGTGATGGGGGCTCAGGGCAGGGAGTTGAGGTGCAGGAGGTGTGCAGGGTACGGCAGGGGGCTCAGGGCAGGGAATTGGGGTGTGGGGTACAGGAGGGGTGAGGGGTGCTGCAGGGGGTTGGGGTGCAGGGTGTGGCAGGGGGCTCAGGGGCAGGGGGGTTGGGGTGC